CATACAGGGAGCCTCTGATTACATCCTAAACATTAAGGCAGATTAACAAAATGCTTTCCACTTTTCTTTTCTACACTGCCCTGTTTTCTTTGACTATATAGATCTGTGTAAAGGGGAAGAGAAGCTTGAGTCTTTCACAGTGTCTCTATCTTTGTCTTTTCACCTCCGTCTGTCTGCTCGAAAATGAGAATGTCATCTCCATCCCTTTTCTTTCTTCCACCACAGGTCGGTTCTTTCAGTGCCGCTCTGTTTTGTTTCTCACTGTTTCCACCGAGGCCAAAAGGCCCCCTGATTAGCAGAATGTTGTTTTAGTTTGGTGTGGAGCGCCTTACATAAGCTTCACATGATCTACTTCTCCAAACCCACGTCTTGGTTAGATGAAAACAGTGGTACGACAGCGATGCCTGTGTTTTGAATAATGTAGGTGGAGTATTGTCTCCTTCCCTCTCTTACATTTAAGTGGTGTTTATTCTCTAAAAAATCATCTCCAGGGATGTAAAACTGGTGATTATGAGCTAGAGTAAAAATGGGCAAGTTGTATTGGTAAAATGATACTGATTAGTTTGTATGACGCATAATTTCAGTTTTGTTTTCACATGTTTATGTGTCTTTCTCTTTCTAAACTGAGAGGTTGTTCGCTCTGTGGATGTATGCATAAATTATTTCAGCACAAATAATAATAATGATGCATCAGAGCCAGGCAGGATCTATTTATTTCTATTCAAATCTATATTTATAGCCAAACAGACAGGGGCTGTAATGTAGGACCCTGTTCATGTGTGTATAAATGCAGTGCATATATACGCATGAATTTGTCTGTACTCTTCAGCTGCACACATGCACCCAAACAAATATCAACACCCACGCAACGCCTTAGATACACAAAGCAAACTACCGCAACAAAGCAGAATACACTCAGCAGTGCAGCACCATTCATGAGCCACACAAAGCTAGCAGGTGATCTCAGGCTGTAGCACGCATGAGTGAGTCAGGTTACTGTACGGAGAATGGCTCCCTGCACTGCGTATAACCTTAAATACACACTGCACCAATGCATTATTGTTTTCATGTTAATTTAATCACATGGAAATGCTTTACTCTCAGCAAAAGTCTCATTTCTTTTATGTTTCTGTGCCGCTGAAGTCTTTTCTCTCTGTTTATTTTTCTTCTGTCGCATAATGAGTCATATTGTAGCTATGCATTTCATTTCTGTCTCCTGTGGCTCCACACAGCCGGTCTCATTCGTGTGTTTATCAGGTACTTAAGACCTTAATTTGTCTTTTCACTGGTGTATAATGTGACAGAGGTAAACAGATTTGAGACAGTAATGTTGATAAATGTATCTCAGGAAATCAATCCTTTACATTGGTAGAAGTACCAAAACTAGGGCTGGGTGATATGGCCTAAAAAAAAAAAAAAATTTCCGATTTTTTCACAACAAATCTGATTCACGATTTAAATCGATTTTTTTCCCCTCCTAGTTAAAAAAAAAAAAATTTGCGGCCTGGTAGCACATACCTGTGGTCCAAAACTTTCAGCATGTGAATAGACCCCGGCTTTTCCACGGTAGCCTATGGGCACCATATCTCTTGCAATATACATGGCGACTGTATCTGTGATCACTTTCTACCGGATCCCTTTCTTATCATACGGCAGTGTTTCCCCTACCATTATATTGGATCACAACAGAAGTCATTTAAGGTTACCTTTCCTATAGAACAGGTCCTTGTCCTTTTATTAAACAAACTAAATAGCCTTATGTTACAGGCTGAGCCTGATGTGTGTGGCTTGTGTGTGTGTGTAGTTGATGTAGGAGGTATGAAACGTTAGCGCGCCGGGTGTGGTGTGTGACGTCAGACGGATGCGCCCCAGGAAGAAAGTGAGGCATGTGCTATATTGTTTACATCGATGGTAACACTTATTTATCTTATTTACACAATGGCATGTCATTTATGTCCCTACACGGTGCGCGTCTAAAATCCTCCTCTGCTCTCTCTGTCGCGCGCGGCGGAGTTCGGCTCTGATGCGCACACACACACACACACACACACACACACACACACACACACACACACACACACACACACACACACAGACACAGGTGAGCACACAGACACAGGTGAGCACACAAAAGCGCTGAGGAACTTGGTTCCCTTTCTTGAGAACGAGTTCTTCAGTGCTCGCTGCCATGTTGTTTGTGTATCAAGTAGGGGTGTAACGATACATCGATCCACATCGATACATCGATTCATTGATTAACGATCCGATTATATTGATGCAAAATGAAAACATCGATCCATATCGTCATCTTAAAGATACACATTTATTTTGAAATTCACATAGCACGTCTGTGTCACCTTTTCTGGGCAAGCGCGCCTCCGCTCAAACAACAAACAGAGCTCAGAAATAAAATGGTCAAATCATATTTTAGTTGTTTTTGTGAGTTGATGTAAATGATTGTGTTAGATGGACATATCGCGTCATATCGATCGCAGGGTCCTGAATCGAATCGAATCAAAATCGTATCGTGACAGACTTTGTGATATCGGCAAACATCGTATTGTCATCCAAACAAATCGATATAATATCGTATCGTGATGAACCTGATGATTTACACCCCTAGTATCAAGCACGCAGGGGGAGGGGTGAGCCCACTCTGAACTACGGGAGCCCAGCGTGGAGCGGCGGTGGCAGATTTTAAATAGAAACTCGATTTTCATTAAAACAAATCGGCCTAAACTACAAATTCGAATTAATCGATAAAATCGATTTATCGCCCAGCCCTAACCAAAACCCATTGTTATTTTTATTTTTAACATGACAGATTAAACATAGAAGACAAGTGGTTATCATACATACAGAACATAAGAGATACAGTAGAAGACAAGACAAGTTAAGAACAGAAAAAAGAGACAGAAATCATATTTATGTAAAAATTCACAAGTACAACATGTAGTGGAGCAGAAGTATAAAGTCCCATAAAATAGAAACCCTCAAATACTGTTCTCAAGTATAGTTTAAAGGAAGTTTGGTCAATTTCCTACCACTGCTATCGGACACATTTCAGTTTTTACCATGTGTGGATTATGTGACAGTGGGCCCCTGGGCACAGACATACAGAAAGCCCCACCACCTCCCCCACATAGGAGCAAAAACACGTAGATTTTATAGTTGTTTAGCCCCTTGTTGTTGTTGTTGTAAGACTCTTTGTAGTTGTTTTGCCTCTCTCTGTGGTTTTGTGTCTCTTTGTGATTGTTTTGCCCCTTTTCTTTAGTCTGAGTGGGTGGAAGTTCGCTGCAAAGATCAGCCTCTCATTGGGCGGAACGAGCCAGCCGCTGAAGTCCCGCCCTACCACCTCCGGTTGCAGTTTTCAACACGTCTTTTACTAACTTTTGCGGTGTTTGATCTTGCGGGGATGTAGCCATTTTTCTGCCATGGTTCGCGTCCTGTAGGCGATATTTTTGTGGGCGTGTTACACCAAAACCTGTTTCCCCCCGGCAATATTTTTGCAAGTGCACTGTTGCTGTGGCACTGCCAAGAACGATTGTGATTGATTGAAAGAAATACAAGCAGCCAGGGCATTTTTTTCTCCAATCTTAAAGTGAGAGTCGGCCCAGCCGGGCCTTTCTTTTCTTGAGAAAGGTCTGGTGAGCGAGACTGCTTTTCTTAGTCATTAAGTGTGTTTCCATTAAAGGTAGGATCTGGAGGATTTTCAAACAAAACAAAATATAGACATATACAAATGAAATCCTGCTTAATCATCACCTATGGGCTTCTACTCGTGTGGTGGTGACTCTGTTTGCAGAGCTCCTGCCCTTTAACGATATTTTGATGTTTTTGTGAGCTCGGACCACTTCTGGGCAGAGATTTCCCCAGCCAATGAGAGAGCATAGGTGCTGTGCCCGAGCATGTCCGAGCATGCACCAGCGCGAGCCTTGCCTGAACCTCTTCTGTGAAGCCTTTTTCCTACCTCCAGGCTCCGTACACCCGGGAGAGTTGAGCCTGATAGGAGGGGCCAAATTTGAATGTGTGTTTACAAACAGCAACTGGAAAATCCTCCAGACCCTACCTTTAACCCTAGAAATATACAAAACCTAAATATCGCAATAAAAAACTGGTAATGGAAACACCTACATTTTGAAAAAAGCTCTCAAATATCGAGAAAAAGTTTTTACGCTCTCATGAGGTGGTTTTTCAGATGTGTCGATATAGAAGTATATCGCAAAAGCGGAATGGAAACACTTTTTTCACAGATATACGTCACTGGACATGACATTGGTGAATTCCTCGTTCACAATCCTCCCCAGAAATTCTTTATCCATGGTCACTGCCACACATAAGGACTTTGCCTTTGGAATACCACTTGCTCTCTTCGTCTTCGGTTGTAGACTATTGCAACAGCAGCAGTGGCAACCGAGATGATTGTTCCAGCTCGCAAGAGATTTGGAATGTCCACCGTACTTCCGCAAACAAAGTGGAGTCTCACGGGATGAGATTTTACGAGAATTATGGCTCATACGCAAAACACCTTTTAATGGAAACACCTGCAAGTCACAATTGTACTTTGTCGAAACTTTAGAAATATTGCATTTATTTTGTGCAAAACTGTAATGGAAACGCAACTATTGAGAGTCTCCTTGCATCTCTTTGTAGTTGTTTTGTGTCTCTTTGGGGTCATTTTAAGTCTCTTCCTCTCCAAAGGGCATTAATGGGTGAAGGCCAGGGGGGCCCTTACACTTTGGGCCTGTGCCTGGTCGGCCTATTCAGTCCCCCATCCATGTTTTTTTTTTTTTTTCCACTAGTTTTGAATCCGGCAACATTTCTTTTATTACAGTTGGGACTGACAGCTTACCTGTGCCAGTCTCATACTGCAGGTAGATAAAAATAAATGCCAAGATTGATAGCTTTTGCTTGTGCTGTGTGTGCTGTCTCAAACTGAAGTGACAGTATGAATCATTTTTCTGTTTGTTCTAACCTCAAAATTTCTCCTCACCTTCCAGGTCTGCCTTTCTACAGCCGTGTGGCAGAGAACTGTGAGGAGGTGGCACACTTTAATGAGGTCAGTGTCTTCATTTTCTGTCATAGACTAACCCACCTCAATAATCACAGATAAGCAATTATCTCTTAACTTAATAGAAACCACAGCCCTCCACTCTCCACAGCAGATAACAATATGGTGATATCAAAGGCTGCTGGTTTTGTTAATGAACCTGGTTGTCAGTAATTAGGAAAGATAATGTCAGTGATGGAGTCAGTATTTGCTTTTAATGTATATGTAATTAGATTTAAATGAGTAATACAACTCAAACTTAGTTGTATGTATTGTTAGACATAATTGAGTACAAGACATCTCGCCCCTACACAATTAATTCAACTGCTGTAAGTGGGATTTTACAATTTGATTGCTGTTGACTAAGCAGTTCCTTTGAATGGGGTTCGCAAAACAAATTTCCATCACAGGTTTTTAGTTTTTAATTCAGTTCAGCTCAAGGTTTCAGTAAAGGTCCATTACATGGAGAATAAAGAACGTCAGATGTGGATCATCAATGTCAAATCTAAGATTCAGCGCCTCTTGAGAGAAACAGTCTAATTGGTAGTATTATATTAGTTTGATATCTCCTCTGTTACATACCTGGCCTTGTGTCATTGAATATGATTTAATAGCATGATAGTGTCATAGTTTGATTCATAAGAAGCTTCTGTGGTTGGTGCATGTCCAACTTCAACTTTCTTAACTCCTGGCATGGTATACTACTTCCTGTGTTGGCAGAGTCATCCAATATTGATGTATTCCCAGTATACTTGACTGCACACAGGCAGGATAAACATAAGCCCCTTTTTCATAAAGTTCCAGGTAAATTATTGAGATAACCTTTCAGGGGATTCAAGGGATTTTCACTGTTTACACATGCACTGCATTGAGGAGCATTTCCATGTTGTGCCTTTTTGCACATGCCATGGCAATATTGGTATAGGTGGGGCAAGGGACAGTACATCAGATGTGATGCAACCCTGTTGGATGATGGCTGTAAAACTCAACAGAAGATGGGGCAAGGCCACATGTAGGTGTAAGCGGCAGAAGACGTCTATTAATATTCTCAGGAACATGGCGGGTGATGAGATGTTTTTGTGCATCGCCAGAAGAACTTGTATTGTCACAGAATCAAATACATCATCAGCGGAGTCCCGATTGGTTCGCTCACTCCATGTGAAAGCATCTTTCATCAGACAGACTGGATCTAACCCTTCACATGCTTGTCTCTGTAATGTTACTGCTTTCATTCTCAACACGGCTTTATTGGCATTTTCCCTGAAATGTTTCTTGATATCAAGGTGGGAAATTGATACTAGTGATTTCCCTGAACATCGATCCCTGCTGAGATTCACACTCAATCCCATGCAGGGAATGTTCCTGAATAATTCAGGGACAGACTGTGTGTGTGAAAGGGGCTATGCAGCGCGAACCAGTGAGCCAGCGAAGGATCATGTCTCATCACCTAATTAATGATCTAACTCAAAATCTTACTTATTCTTATTTACAAATGGCTGATGAAGTGTTTCCTAATGGCTCTCTCCTGTTCGCTGATAGCCTATCAGGGTCTGAGAGGTGAGGCAGAGGTAGAGGTCTCTACCCATGCATGACATTGAACACTTGCTCTGTACTTGCTCTGTTGTAATTAAACTAGACACTCCGCTGCTGTGGAGAGGTAGAGCTGGTCCCCCGAATAGCTCCTCTGCCAGAACTGGAAGTTCTTTTAACTCGAAAAAGAAAGTTTAATGGCAGTGAACACAGACCCGGAAAAAACCTTTCAGGACCTCAAGGATTTCACTGCAGTTCCTCTGGTGCTGGTTAGTCTCTCTCTTTTATGGCAGTTGTGGGATTCTGGGGAATGTTCCCAGTAGGATTCCTGCAGGCTTCTGATACACTGATAACTCATTTCCACCAAATATCGTATGTTTCTTGAACTGGTTCTGTTTGGGATTCTTGGAACCTTGGTGCTGTCTAGTGAACAAACCTGCGTTGTTGCCAGTTTCATTGAGTGTAATCAAGGATGTGTCATCAGTGAAGGGTGTTGCACAATGATCAAGGGAAATAAACAGTAGTAGCAGGATGACAGAACATATCATTAACCTGCAAGCTTTTGTTCTGTCATTACAGATACTTGTTTTTATCCAAAATACAACCATGGACCAGCTATCAGTTCATTAAGTTCCCAATCTTTTTAATGTACCCTCTTTGGCATATTTTACAGGCAAGTACCCTCTGATGAGTACAAAACATTTTTGGTAGAAAAGAAAATACCCACATTAAGAGGAACAATACAGCACTGTGTCATCACTGTCTGATTTACTGAACAACAATCTCACAACTGACAAAGACTGCAATGTCACATTTCAAGTGAGAATCCATCACAAGACTCATGGCAAACCAGTTTTTTGTCATTATGCAAAAACCCTAAGGCGGCATTGTTGTTGCATGAACTGTGCCTTTTTGATAAGCTGCACTTATAGATTAGATTAGTGATGAAATCATTTTAGTAATTCTGCATGACTGATCCCCCCTGCAGTACTCCAGAGTACCCCTTTGTATACACAAACTCTCTTTTTCAGAAACACTGCTACACCCACTGATGTCGTCATGGTTTGAGCTTCAGGTCAAGGAAAGCCTCTACTTTTTGGCTCCAGCTGGAAACAAACCTTTTCTAGGTTCTGAACCAATTTATTTTTGGTCAAAGTGGTCTGAGCATTACAAAATTAAGTGCGTGACCCTAAACAGAAGCTGCTCCATGTTGGTGGAGAGGGGATATGAGAGACCAGCATTATGATGATTTAAATGCAAAGAGTCAAATAAGGGAGCAGAGGGGGGATATAAGATAGCGATGAGGGTTGAGGGATCAAGACAGAAGTGCTGGAGGAATTCCTCACAGAGTGAAAGCGAAAGAGACAGACCAGAGGTAGGGGATAAAGTCAGGGAATGAAATAAGAAAAACAAAAGAAAGAGGGCCTCAAACACATACAGTACCTTCCTCGGGGAGTTTTCTGCCCGCTCTCTCTGAGCTGCTTGCTTTTACAGAGAAAAACATTTTTCCTTTGATGGGCTCACAGGCAGAGGACTGCTTCCTTTGCTGATAACTAGGGCTTTTGTTTTCAGTCTAATCAGGAAAATGGCTAAATGACTGGGCGCGTTTGGTAACTTGCACAGCAGCACACACACATTCATAATCCCTGCGGAAATAATGTTTTTGTGGCGTCATGGGTGAAATATGAGAGAAAAGTAGAAAAAAGGGAGAGATGTGTCAGAAATATATACAGTATAATGGTGCATTATATTATTCCTGAAGCTTGACTACAGTAACTGGTACAGAACGGAGTAGCTGCCACTGATATGTGATCTCTTGTGACAGCCTCACCCGATGCTCTCGTCGCGGTCCTGTAGTGTTCGGGAGGTCATTAGCATCACTCAGCATCAATAAAAACGTCCAAGCTTCCCTTGGGACGACTTGTGCTGCCAGTAGTTCCTGAGTCTGTGTGTGTATATGTATGCCCGCTTGTGTTACATGCGGCTGGTGCCCAAGAGTACATGTAGTGTTTTTCTAGCCACCCCCACCCCACAAACTCAGTTCCTCATCTGACATCTTCATCCTCAGCACTGGAACATTTGCATGGCTCAGTAAGCTCAGTCCAGCCCCTGGAGTTGAGGGCCATTAGCATAGAGTTGTGTGTCTTGTTGCTTCATGCATGGACTAGCAGAGCGCCTTTGAACTAGTATGCGGATAGACTGGATGGGGAATCTCTATTCATTATTCATTCCATGGTGGGACGCGGCTTTTAGCTGCAGTACACCAGGGCTTCCCCCTCACTAGTTAGACATAACTGGAGCAAAGAACAGAAAGCCCTGCAAGCACTATATGTGACCACAGGGTTCATTCAGTTTGGACTAGTGGATATAGCTTCAGTACATGTGTGTGTTCATATTGGACTGAATTGGACTAAGAATGTGGGTTTGTTTAGTTTACAAACAAGATGTCAAGATATTTGAACTATGCAGACAAGGAAAGGGGAATTATTATGCAAACATAATGAGCGCAGGAATATTCCTTCTCCACTAGCCTCCAGCTGCTACATCTCTCGGCACTGCACTAAGTGTACAGTCTGACTTTTTAATGAGAGTCTTGTGATTATGCTATGCTAAATTCTGAATCCCATGACTTTTTCACAGCTTTTTTAGGCCATTGTGTACTCACCGTTTACAGCTCTGTCTGATACAAATTGCATTGCTATACCACTAATGTGCCATTCAATGTCAATTCTGTTATTTATTGCCATAAGGAGGAAATATTGCTAAATGAATACTGCATCAATTTAGCATTGCACCACACTGTTGAGGTCACAATGGACAGCTTAAAAAAATCAATGCAGCACAACCAGATATACCGTCTGTTTTTTTTTTTTTTTAATCCTTGTTCTTCTGTGTCAAAACCTACATTACCCACAGTGCAACTTTATTGCCAACAGTGCAGATTTGAGTGTGGGTGCTAGCCCCAAGAAGTGATGAGGAGCAGCTTACAAAAGTCAGGTAAACACAGCCCCAGATACTTTTTTTTCCCATTTTCAAACCTTGAAGTCTTCGGTCCCACCTGACATCACTTAAAGCAATTTATCATACTTCACACAGCTCCCTGTGGAGCCACAAGAGGCTTTATATAACCTTGTAACATATGCAGAAGTACTCCTGGGAGGACTACCGCCTACTCCCCAGACTGCCAAGTTAGAAAATGTTCATTGAATGTGTCAACAAAATGTTAACTGACGATCTTATTCACTGCCTAAAATATTCGCTCCTGCAATTAGGGATCAGATCAGATGTAGTCGGTATCAGAATTTAATCGGTTGAACTTTTTAACACATGCACTCACCTGTGCCAGCAGGATGTCCTCTTATAAGGCTGAACGAGAGAGATGCTTTTGGGCACATAGGATATCATGAGAAGCCTGTGTGTGTCAGTTTGCGTACACGCTCATGCATGAAAGAATTACTGTGTGAGTGTGTTTGTTCTTG